GGGAATTGCTAAAGGACTGGAATTCGAGAGACAAGTCTCCTTTATTGACACACATGTTCTGGTTCCCAAAGCCTGGAGAAATTCCATATGCCATAGAAATGAGGTCTCAAGGCTATGCCCATTATGGAAACAGGAAAAAAAAAAAAGAAGAAGAATTAAATTTGCTGCTTAAATAAAATGGGCCCCATCTGGCTAACATTTGGAGATTTGTTTTCAGTCCACATTGCCACAAACACACTTGACAGTTCCCAGGGTAACTGGCAGCTCTGTCACAGCATAAATAAAACGAAAGTGCCAGTTCTGTGTGGAACGAAAGGAGACTTGATGCCCCAAGGCTTAGATTTAGTGTTTGGAGATACACTGCTAATTCAGTGCTTTAATAAATAAATGCATAAGGAAGTAAATAAGGGGTAGGCTTATTATATAAAGGCTGTTAAGTATTCACATTCACAGGAGAAATCTAAGTCTGAAGGTGTGATGTGAGTGACAAGTAGGCCAGCCTCAAGGGAGGGCAGGTGAATCGTGGTGTTTGAGAGCAGTTAGCGATGTTGCAGCTCCCTGCCAGAGCAAGCTCCGTGGAAATAGGGTAGATGAGAATTAGGTTTGGGATTTCAGAAGCCTAGATGGGGGTGGGGACTCCTGGCTATGCGCCCAGAACCAGGAAAATCTGATAGGCAATATCTAAAAATCTAAGGGAGGCAAAGAGATTAAAAGAATGTTTGGCCCAGCCAGTGTGGCTCAGTGGTTGAGCATCGACCCATGCACCAAGAGGTTGCCAGTTCGATTCTCGGTCAGGACGCATGCCCAGGTTGTGGGCAAAATCCCTACTGGGGGCATGCAGGAGGCAGCCAATCGATGTTCTCTCTCATAGATGTTTCTATCTCTCCCTCTCCCTTCCTCTCTCTTTAAAATTAATAAAGAAAACAAAATGTTAAAGAATGTGTGAATAAGAGCCTATCCAAAGAAGCCAGGCCAAGGGTAAATCCAGTGATTAAGGGGTGAACTCCATGAGAATGATAGAAAACTGAAGGCAAGGGGGTTGGGAGGACAGGTTGAAGGTGGGATGTGGTGCAGATGCCAATACCTGGGACATTCTTTGTGGAGAGCGAGCTCCTTAGTATAGTGGGCATTAAAATACAGGGTCTGGGTTTTTTTTAAGAAAGAGGAAAATAGTTCCAAGCAAATGACATCAGCAATGACATGGAGGAGGCAAATCACAGCAAAGATATGGTAAATGTGACCCTATGTTCATTCATTCAGTTAAAAATATTTGGGGAGAATGACTGCTCTATGCCGAGCACTGTGCAGGGACCCAATATAAGTAATCATGCCCTGCCCAAGGGACACAGTAACACACAAGTAAATAATACACAGATTCCACCCTGACATATGCCTGAAAGAAAAGATGAAGGGAGCATTAGTTGGGTGGTCAAAGAAGGCTTCTCGGAGGTGGTGTCTGAAGAATTTTCCCGGCAAGGAGAATGTTTTGCACAAAGACCTTGAGATTAAATTCCAAAAAGAGAGAAAGAATAATAAAAGCAAGGCAAAACCTTGGCAGGTTAGAGCATTCTCCTCTGAATTTAAATCAGACTTCCTATCAGAAAAAAAATTCTGAGTGGGCACCTTCAATGTTTATATTTATTTACTTATAAATTGTATACATTGTATTATACATATAACATATTCAAAAATAGAAATGTTAAAGGATAAGATGAAAAATAAAGTGCAAGTTCTAATATGTTCTTCTTTCTACATCACTGTGGATGGTCATGCCCCCTGGGGGGACCTCGTTCCTCTTCCACAGCACTGGAAGAGGTAAAAGGATCCAGGTGGAGCCCAGTGACCAAAAGGGCGAGTGGGGACTTCATCCGGGCGAGTTGACCTCTGGCCATGGCAAGGAGCTTCTATTTTATTGCAGTCAATAGGAAGTCACTAAGAGTTGTGAGCAGCAGACATCACCCAGCTTGTTTTCAAAATATCACTCAGTCTGCAGTGCAGAGACTGGATCGGAAGGGGGCAAAAGCAGAATCAGGGATGACTAAGGAGACGATTACTGATCCAGATGAGAGCACAGAGCAGCTTAAACTGGAATGGTCCTCCTCGGGAGAGGGTAAATGACACATCCATACAAGTTTTGGAGATAAAAGAGACATAACAAGCTAATGCAGGGGGTGTGAGGGTGAGGGAGGCTTTCGAACGTCTTAAATTTAAAATGCTTATGTGGTGTTCCAGTAGAATTGTCTAGCAGGCAAATGTGAAGCCATTTAGGGCAGAAATATAAATAAGGGCATTTTGGCACAGAGGCGATGAAAGCCTTGGGGAGATTAAAGCGATCTGAAAGAGAGTATGGAGAGGAAAAGGACTCAGTTCAGGATTAAATCCAGCGAGCAGCCGAAGGGAAAAAAAAACCAGAAAGTGTAGAGGTCACAGAGAATGTCCAAAAAAGAGAAAGGGTGTGGAGAGGATTCGGCAGCCAGATCAAGGAACTTAAGTACAGAAAAGTGTCCTTCCCTTTGGGCAACTTGAAAAGAGCAGTTTTAATGGGGTTTTAAGGGCAAGGTGCAAACAGCAGTGGGTGGAGAAATGCACAGGAACGAGTGGGGAAGGCAACAGCATCTGCAGAGAGCTGTTGTAAACGTTTGGTGCTGAATGGGCTGGTCATGGAGGAAGTACGAAGATGGTTTCATATGGAAACCCCAGATCATGTTTGTAGATTCTTGGGATGATGCAACAGGCAGTGGAAATGGTAAGCAGATGAGAGGGGAAAGTCACTGCATGCAGATCCAGACCATGTCGTAGATTAGATAGTGGGAAGATGAGTTCTTTTGGATGACTTTTCATCTTTGTTGGTGAAATAAGAGGTCAGGCCATCAGCTAAAAGTGGGGTGGGGAAAGGAGAGGTAGAATGTGAGAGGTTTGAGGAAAGAGGTATTCTAAAAGGAACCATGAACTTACCAGAAAAAAATAGCAGGACCATCAGGCAATGAGGAAAATTCATTTGGGATCTGAGATGATAGATTTAAAGGCAAATGGATAAAATGGAAATAAGATTTCTCTCCAGCAGTGAAGTGATCTGCTTTTTTTTTTTTTTTTTTTTTTTTTTTTTTTTTTTTTTTGTTCAGTGGTAATAAAATGGTAAAAGATTTCTAGGAGGTAGGGGAGATCTGTGTTTGAGAAGATAGAGGGCAAAGATGCAGACCAAAAGGAAAGATTTAAAATGCTGAAGAAGAGTCTACATGTAGGAAACCTGATTTGAGAAACAGAAAGATGCTCTTTCAAGCCCAGAAAAAAAAAAAAAAAGTTATTTTCTGAATGAAGAAGATGATGGATCTGTGCATCTTTTCACAAGAACCTTCTGCTTTTCCTCCCAGCCTCAACAGATGCTCTGCTATTCCCCTTGGAAACAAGGACACAAGCTCATTTATCACAGGGCTGACCAAGGCCAAGGTCGAGGCTGTGACCGGGCCGTGTTTACACCGTGCTCCACACACAGGGCTTGCCACGCCAGGTAGCACTGGGAGAGTATCAACTTAAGCACGAGACGACGTTTTATCACAGTTTATGTTGTATCTGCGGACTCGCACTCCTCCGCCGTGGCCTTGTAATAGTTCATCTGGGATTAACGTCATTAACGTAAGAGGAGAGGCTCGAAGGTGAAAAGAGTCCTTGGGAACTGACACGTCTTCTGGAGACGTTTACAAGCATGACTGTTATTGATGCCTGGGGACCACTGAGTGTGGAAGTGCAGCCAGATTCTACACGTTGCCTCCCAAAATACTGTCTCTACCTTCCTTTGAATTCATTTTTCCCCCTTAAGAGCTATATATTATAACAATCTATAGGGCCCCTCATTGAAACAATTCCTTACACAACTCATTATATTAAGTGATGGCACATGATTTTGTAAACACATTGAACCTAAGCGACAGTTGCATTCACCATTGAAACATTAGAAAGTTATTACCCTTACACTTGGCTAATTAGTGGACACTATCAACATCTTCCTAACCACTCTCCATATGTACTGTACTTCTCTTGTACATAAGCTTTTTTAAAGAAGTTAAAATTGGCATAAGAACTACTTTCTCGGTTTATTTAAATCTTGGTTTATCACATGTATTGTACTTCCTTCATGTTGCACAAGCCAGACTGTCCTATAATGAAGCATATCAATTTTACTACTGTAGTGAACATTCCTTCACAGTCAGCCAGATGTTCTGCATCAGTCAGGGAAATTAAAAAAAAAAAAAAAAAAAACTTTAGAAAATAGTTGACGAAATAACTCTATTCCTGGGGGAACGGAGGTATGCAGTTCCTCTGAAATGTCTGTTCTAATTCAGTAGGGGTTTAGGTTCTTTTCTTAAATAATCAGTGCATGAGGGGATTTTTTTTCTTTTTCCCTTGATGCGATCATGGAGAGTGTGTGAACACTTAACAACACTGGGCACTAAACTATTAGAATAAATGGTACCTCTTTTCAATCAAAATGGAAGTATGGTAGTTAGAGTTCAGGGTCTTGGTTCAAATTCTGGCTCTACCGCTTACTAGTTCTTTTATTTAAGTCCTCTGTGTCTCATCTTCTTTACCTGCCAAGTGCAGAAAATATTAGTACCCAATTCACAGAGATTTTATGATATTTAGAAGATATAGCACATGTAAAATTCTTGGAACAGTGACTGGCACATAGCAAGTGTTCAATAAACAGTAACTGATATGGCATTTCCTCCACAAGACCCTCCCAAACAAAATGAACGGCAAAGGTCCCATCTCTTGAGAATGAGCTTTATTTTCCCAGTAGCCAAAAATGTATCCAGGCCCAGGTCTGTTACAATAGGAGACTACTCCAACTGAATAATAGTTTTCCAAGTTGAAAGCTGGGTTTCACTAAAATAATGAAACTTTTTCTTATGTGGCTCATGAATGTGTTCTAAAGACAACCCCCAAAAAACCTGCCAAAAGTGTTTTGAGCAGCGGCCATCGTAGAAGCGCCAGTGGTCAAAATGAAGTTTAATCCCCTCGTGACTTCCGACCGGAGCAAGAACTGTAAAAGGCAATTCAATGCACCTTCCCACATTCACAGGAAGATTATGTCTTCCCCTCTTTCCAAAGGGCTGAGACAGAAGTACCATGTTCGGTCCATGCCCATTCGAAAGGACCATGAAGTTCAGGTTGTCCGAGGACATTACAAAGGGCAGCAAACTGGCAAAGTAGTCCAGGTTTACAGGAAGGAATGTGTCGTCTACAGTGAGCGAGTGCAACGGGAGAGAGCTAGTGGTGCAACTGTTGCACACTCACCCAGCAAGGTGGTCACTAGACTAAAACTGGACAAAGACCGCAAAACAATCCTTGAACGTAAAGCCAAATCTCGCCAAGTAGGAAAGGAAAAGGGCAAATACAAGGAAGAAACTATTGAGAAGATGCAGGAATAAAGTAATCTTACATACAACTTTCATTAAAACTTAAAAGGAAAAAATTTTAAAAAATAAAATTAAAGTGTTTTGAGCAGAAGCTGTGTCACTGAAATGGGAGAAGTCATTCAAGTTTAGCACTCATTTCAAAATATAAATTCTGGGTTTTTAATCTAAAAGACCATAACAATTTAAATATCTCAATACTAGACATACCACAAAAAAGGAGAACAGTGGCACTATTGCTTTTATTTTTGGAACCCTGAAAGTTGCATCGAGATTAGCCAACTTTGGGTTCTAAGGACTCATTATCCTGTTTGAAGCCCTGAGCGATTACAAGACTATGGAGTGAGTTTCTTTCTTTCTTTCTTTCTTTCTTTCTTTCTTTCTTTCTTTCTTTCTTTCTTTCTTTCTTTCTTTCTTTCTTTCTTCTTTCTTTCTCTTTCTTTCTTTCTTTCTTTCTTTCTTTCTTTCTTTCTTTCTTTCTTTCTTTCTTTCTTTCTTTCTTAATTGAGCAAACAAACATTTCCTAGAGTCTATTTTCCGTACATTTTTGCATTTTATACTATTTTCTTTTTTTTTTTTTATTTTATTTTTTTTATTTTTTTATGAATTTTTATTTATTTTTTTGTTACAGATATTTTACCTTTTTACCCCATTGGCACCCCCCACCCCACCCCCTCCACCCTGTCCCCGGCTTAGTTGTCCATGTCCATTGGTCATGCATACATGCATATAAGTTCTGTGGTTTATCTCTTCCCACCCCCCCACCCCCCATCCCCTCTTCTGAGGGATGTCAGTCTGTGCCCTACTTCCATGTGTCTGGGTCTACTGTATTCCTCAGACTGTTATGTTCATTATATTCCGTATATAAGTGAGATCATGTGGTATTTGTCTTTTTCTGCTTGGCTTCTTTCACTTAGGATAATACTTTCCAGGTCCCTCCATGTCGTCTCAAAGGATAAGAGATCTTTCTTTCTTACCGCTGCATAGTACTCCATTGTGTATATGTACCACAGCTTTTTGATCCATTCGTCTACTGGTGGACACTTGGGCTGTTTCCAGATCTTAGCTATTGTAAATAGTGCTGCTATGAACATGGGGGTACATATATTCTTCCTGATTGGTGTTTCAGGCTTCTTAGGGTATATTCCCAGCAGTGGGATCACTGGGTCAAATGGAAGTTCAATTTTTAATTTTTTGAGGTAGCACCATATTGTTTTCCATAGCGGCTGCACCAGTCTGCATTCCCACCAGCAGTGTATTAGAGTTCCCTTTTCTCCACACCCTCGCCAACACTTGTTGTTTGATGATTTGTTGATGGCGGCCATTCTGACAGGTGTGAGGTGATACCTCATTGTTGTTTTAATTTGCATCTCTCGGATGATTAGTGATGTTGAGCATTTCTTCATATGTCTCTTGGCCATTTGTATGTCCTGTTTGGAGAGGTGTCTATTCAGCTCCTCTGCCCATTTTTTAATTGGGTTCTTTGTCTTCCTTTTGTGGAGTTGTGTGAGCTCTCTGTATATATTGGAAATTAACCCCTTATCTGATACATCATTGGCAATGATGTTCTCCCATACAGTGGGTTGCCTTTCCATTTTGATGATCGTTTCTTTTGCTGTGCAGAAGCTTTTTAGTTTGATGTAGTCCCATGTGTTCATTTTCTCCTTTATTTCTGTTGCCTTAGGTGATGTATCAGTGAAAATTCTGCTCCGTATGATGTCCGAAATTTTGTTGCCTACATTTTCTTCTAGAATTTTTATGGATTCACGGGTCACATTTAAGTCTTTTATCCATTTTGAGTTTATTTTTGTGTATGGTGTAAGTTGATGGTCGAGTTTCATTTTTTTGCATGTAGCTGTCCAATTTTCCCAACACCATTTATTAAAGAGGCTGTCTTTACTCCACTGTATGCTCTTGCCACCTTTGTCAAATATTAATTGAGCGTATTGCCTTGGGTCCATTTCTGGGTTTTCAGTTCTGTTCCACTGGTCTATATGCCTGTTCTTGTGCCAGTACCAGGCTGTTTTGGTTACAGTCGCTTTGTAGTATAACCTGATATCTGGTAATGTGATCCCTCCAACTTTGTTCTTCTTTTTCAAGATTGCTGTGGCTATTCGGGGTCTTTTTTGGTTCCATATGAACTTTTGAAGTATTTGTTCTAGTTCTATGAAATATGTCGTTGGTATTTTGATGGGGATTGCATTGAATCTATAGATTGCTTTGGGTAGTATGGACATTTTAATTATGTTAATTCTTCCAATCCATGAACAGGGTATGTTCTTCCACTTTTTTATATCTTCCTCTATTTCTTTTTTCAATGACCTGTAGTTTTCTGCAAATAGGTCCTTTACTTCTTTGGTTAAGTTTATTCCTAGGTATCGTAATTTTTTTGGAGCGATGGTAAATGGGATTGTTTTTTCAGTTTCTCTTTCTGTGAGTTCATCATTGATGTACAAGAATGCTGTCGATTTCTTGACGTTAATTTTGTATCCTGCTACTTTGCCAAATTCATTTATTAAGTCTAATAGATTTTTGATGGAGTCTTTAGGGTTTTCTATGTACAATATCATGTCATCTGCAAATAATGACAGTTTCACTTCCTCCTTTCCAATTTGGATCCCTTTTATTTTTTCTTCATGTCTGATTGCTGTGGCTAAGACTTCCAGTACAATGTTAAACAAGAGTGGCGAAAGTGGACATCCCTGTCTTGTTCCTGTTCTTAATGGAAATGTTTTTAGTTTCTGTCCATTGAGTATGATGTTGGCTGTAGGTCTTTCATATATGGCCTTTATTATGTCGAGATATGATCCCTCTATTCCTACATTGCTGAGCGTTTTTATCAGAAATGGATGCTGGATTTTGTCGAATGCTTTTTCAGCATCTATTGATATGATCATGTGGTTTTTATTCTTCATTTTGTTTATGTGGTGTATCACGTTTATTGATTTGCGAATATTGTACCAGCCTTGCATCCCTGGAATGAATCCCACTTGGTCATGGTGAATAATTTTTTTGATGTATTTCTGGATCCGATTTGCTAGTATTTTGTTCAGGATTTTGGCATCTATGTTCATCAGGGATATTGGCCTGTAGTTTTCTTTCTTCGTAGTGTCTTTTTCTGGTTTTGGAATTAGAATTATGCTGGCCTCATAGAATGTGTTTGGAAGTCTTCCTTCTTCTTGAATTTTTTGAAATAGTTTGAGGAGAATGGGTGTTAGTTCTTTTTTGAATGTTCGGTAAAACTCCCCCGTGAAACCATCTGGGCCTGGGCTTTTGTTTGCTGGGAGAGTCTTGATTACCTCTTCAATCTCCTTAGTTGTTATTGTTCTGTTCAAGTTTTCTATCTCTTCCGGGAATAGTTTTGGGAGACTGTGTGTTTCTAGAAATTTGTCCATTTCGCTGAGATTGTCGAATTTGTTGCCATATAGTTGTTCATAGTAGTTGTTAACGATCTTTTGTATTTCCGTGGTGTTGGTTGTTACTTCTCCTCTTTCATTTCTGATTTTGTGTATTTGGGTTCTCTCTCTTTGTTTCTTGGTGAGTCTAGCTAAGGGTCCATCAATCTTGTTTATCTTTTCGAAAAACCAGCTCTTTGTTTCATTGATCCTTTGAATTGTTTTTTTGGTCTCTATGTCATTTATTTCTGCTCTGATCTTTACTATTTCCTTCCTTCTACTTGCTCTGGGGTTTTCTTTTTGTTTGCTTTCTAATTCTTTAAGTTGTGAGGTTAGACAGTCAATTAGAAATTTTTCTTGTTTTTTGAGGTAGGCCTGTAGTGCTATGAACTTCCCTCTCAGAACTGCTTTCGCTGCATCCCATAGATTTTGTGTTGTTGTGTGTTCATTTTCATTGGTTTCCAGGAAGTTTTTGATTTCTTCCTTGATCTCCTCGGTGACCCATTCATTGTTTAATAACATGCTATTTAGCCTCCATGTGTTGAAATGTCTTTGCATGTTCTTGTTGCAGTTGATTTCTAGTTTCATGCCATTGTGATCTGAGAAGATGCTTGATATGATTTCAATCTTCTTGAACTTGTAGAGATTTAGTTTGTGTCCTATCATGTGGTCTATCTTTGAGAATGTCCCATGTGCACTTGAGAAGAATGTGTATTCTGTAGTTTTGGGGTGTAATTCTCTGTAGATATCTATTAAATCCATTTGGTCTAGTGCTTCATTTAGAGTCTCTGTTTCCTTGCTAATTTTTTGCCTAGAGGATCTATCCAGTGCTGTCAACGGGGTGTTGAAGTCCCCAGCTATGATTGTATTGTTGTCGATTTCTCCTTGGAAGTCCTCCAGAAGATTTTTAATATATTTTGGTGCTCCTATATTGGGTGCATATATGTTTATCAAGGTTATATCTTCCTGTTGGATAGATCCTTTCAATATTATGTAGTGGCCGTCTTTGTCTCTAGTTATGGTCTTCATTTTGAAATCTATTTTATCAGATATGAGAATTGCTACCCCAGCTTTTTTTTGCTTTCCATTTGCTTGGAAAATTTTTTTCCATCCCTTCACTTTCAACCTATGTGAGTCTTTTGTTGAGAGATGGGTCTCTTGTAAACAACATATAGATGAGTCATGCTTTCTTATCCAATCAGCTACTCTGTGTCTCTTTATGGGAGCATTCAGTCCATTTACGTTTAAGGTGATTATTGATATGTACTTATTTATTGCCAGTTTTGTTTAGTGTGGTTCTATTTTTCTTCCCATTTCTACTGCTAATTACAGCAGTCCTTTTAACATTTCTTGCAGTGCTGGTTTGGTGCTAATGTATTCCCTTAGCTTTTTTTTGTCTGGGAAGCTCTTTATTTGATCTTCTATTTTGAATGATAGCCTTGCTGGGTAGAGTAGTCTTGGATTCAGATTCTTGTTTTTCATGACTTTGATCACTTCATGCCATTCCCTTCTGGCCTGTAGTGTTTCTTGTGAGAAGTCAGCTGAGAGCCTTATGGGGTTCCCTTTGTAGGTAACCTGTTGCTTATCTCTTGCTGCTTTTAGGATTCTCTCTTTGTCTTT